AGAAGATCGCGCTGTACCACGCGCTCGCGCCTTCGGTCTATCCCAGAAATGGGGTAACGCACCATACTACGAGACCTCTGCCCGGCGCCGCGCAAACGTCAACGAAGTCTTCGTTGATCTGTGCCGCCAGATCATCCGCAAAGACTCCGAGGCCGCAAAGAGCAGCAACGATCCCAACCGAAAGCGCGAAGGCCCGAACCGCAAGCGAGACAATCGCCGGCCGAAAAACCGCCGCGGTCCGTGTGTCATCCTTTGATTTAGCAATTCAAGGGGCGCCGAGGCCCCTTGTCTTGTTTCATTTTCATGCGATACGACCCTCTGCGATCTATGCCTATTCGACGCCGCTATGCATTTTGACATGTCATGTATGACTGATGTTCTTTCTATATGCTGCCGATATGTCTATGCCTCTCCTCTCCTCACCCCTATAGAACCATGCTTCGCAGCTACAGATTTGTATCTTTTCTTTTTTTCTTTTTTTTTTTGCGCTGTACACAATTGGTGTCATACTTCTTTTTATTATTTGACATATTTGATTGAGGCTTGGTTGCTCTGGACTCTAAAAAGACTACTTTCAAGAGATGGAAAAAAGTGCTTTCTTTTCTTTTGGTCCTGTTGCTATTATCGTTTGGTTGATAGGCTCACGCTACAATCCTTGTGGTTGGACCCTTCGCCGTCAACATAAAGGAGTGAAATTATAGTACCGGATATCTTGTGCGATTCAAACACTTTCCTTTGATGCGCTCTTTGGACCGCGCCGTGCAATTCTAGAAGTCCACTAGACTAAAGAACGATAGTTTATAGAGGCCAAGGCTACATAATTTGATACAAAGCGACTGTCCACCGCATATTCCATTTGACTATCCGGAACCGTCGTAACAAGTTAACGGCACATAAACAGATGTCTTCTATTCTATATTTTCTCGAATTATTTGAATAAAAATGACCATGCCTCGATCCAACCCTACATCCGGAAGACACCAAACCTGGTCTGCACATCCGGCTCAGCCTTGCCACCGAGCGCAGCTGTCAGACCCAACCCCAGCATTTTCCTCGTCTCAGACGGCGGGATGATACCATCATCCCACAAACGAGCCGAGGAAAACGTCGCTTCAGATTCACGGTCGATGCGGTCTTTCAAAGCCGGATCAGCGGTTCGTCCAACAGCCTCCATAACGGCCGAGAGTTGTTCAGAGCCCATAACGCCGATCTTCGCATTAGGCCACATAAAGAGAAGACGAGGTGAGTAGGCACGACCACTAGAGCAATATCAGTTAGAGAAGAACTACTACAGAAAGCCTAAGGAGAAAGAAAGAAACATACCACATCCCGTAATTACCAGCACCAGCACTGGACCCAAATACAACAGTGAACTTGGGGACATCGGCACACGCGACCGCAGTGACAAGCTTAGCACCGTTCTTCGCGATGCCGCCCTTCTCGGCATCAGCGCCGACCATAAAACCGGAGATATTCTGCAAGAAGACAAGCGGGATCCGCCGCTGAGCGCAAAGCTCAATAAAGTGCGCTCCCTTCAGCGAGGACTCGGAGAACAAGATTCCATTATTAGCAACTATGCCGACACGGTGGCCGTGGATGCGGGCAAAGCCCGTTACCAGGGTCGAGCCATAGTCGCGCTTGAACTCGGCGAATTCACTCCCATCGACAATCCGCGCGATGACCTCGTGGACAGGGATCTGGCGTCGGAGATTGGTGCCAACGATTCCGTTTAGCTCATTAGGGTCGTATAGCGGTTCTTTCACGACATGCGAATCTCCATTGCCGTTTTCCAGCCGGAGCGGAGTGGGCGTGATAGGGTAGTTGAGGTTCGCGACGGAGCGGCGAGCAAGGACTAGAGCGTGGGCATCGTCGACAGCCAGGTAGTCGGTAACACCGGAGATGCTCGAATGCAGCTGACCGCCACCCAGGTCCTCGGCGGAAACCTCCTCGCCCGTCGCGGCCTTGACGAGAGGCGGGCCTGCTAGGAAGATAGTACCCTGGTTCTCGACGATGATGGTCTCGTCGCTCATGGCAGGCACGTATGCACCACCGGCCGTGCAGGGACCCATGACAACGGAGAGCTGTGGGATACCGAGGGCGCTCATGCGGGCCTGGTTGAAGAAGATCCGGCCGAAGTGATCGCGGTCTGGGAACACATCTGCCTGATGAGGCAGGTTTGCACCACCAGAGTCAACGAGGTAAATACAGGGGAGGCGGTTCTCCTGCGCAATCGCCTGTGCGCGGAGGTGCTTCTTCACTGTGACGGGGTAGTAGGTGCCGCCCTTGACGGTGCTGTCGTTAGCAACGATCATGCAGTTGACACCCTCGACCATCCCAATTCCGGTGATGATCCCGCCCGCTGGAACATCCTCGCTGTAGACACCGTGTCCCGCGAGTGCGGATAGCTCTAGGAAGGAGGTGCCTGGGTCGACTAGGGCGGAGATCCGGTCTCTTGGGAGCATTTTGCCGCGGGCGATGTGCTTCTCGCGCGCTTTGTCATTTCCTCCGCGTGCAATTTTTGTGTGTAGACTGTTCATCTGGTCGAGGAGTTTTTGCATTTGTTCGCTGTTTTCGCGGTACTCCTGTGAGGAGGTGTCCACTGCTGTGGGGAGGACTGAGAGGGCTGAGGCATGGTGAGGATGTGTATAACTTGCTACTGTTCTATAAGCTGGTCGTGTAATGTTTGTTGACTGGCGGAATGAGTTGAGACATTTCCGTGGTCCGAGTCGGCAACCCCAGGTTTGGAGGACGAGCGGGGACGGGACACGCATTGCGGGGAAAAGTGTGGAGTAGCTGATTCTGAGAAGAGGATGGCAGAGCTCAGCCCAAGTCAAACTGAAGAGGGAATTATAGGTATATTAGGAGTTCCCCGGAGTATTCAAAGACATACGAACAGGAAACAGCAGGAGAGAAGCGAAAAGGCACAAAGCGGGCCACAAAGCTGGGGTCGCCTCAAATGCGGAGATGCGACGATTGCCGCATATACCCGAGGGCCATGAGAATGCTGAGAAACAACAGAAAGATGCTGAGCAATTGGTGAGGGAGAGAGAGCATAGAATATAAGAACGAATTAGTTTGAAATCAAGGAGCTTATAGAGAGGTTCTAGTATCTGAAATCCAAAAGCATCACTCGTTACAAGGTGGGAAACTCATAGTATAACAAGTGTCTGAGCCTGAATGCGCCGAGGAACTACCGATCCCCCTTGCACACACATCTTTAAAAGGTCCACTTCCCCAAAGACACTTCTTCCCCGGAATTTGCATTCTACATTTTCTCATATAACCATGGCGTCCCTAACCCTCCCTCTCCTTCGCACCTCAACACGCGCGGTACGGCTAACCCGCATCCCCGCACTTACCCCGTATTTCCGCTCTATCTCAACAAAACACCCCACGGGCTTTGTACCTCCGTCCGAGAGTGATCTCCTAGAGCTGCGGGAGCGCGTGCAAGATTTCACAAGTACATTATCTATGCTCTAACCCAAGTCGCACTTCTAACCTTGCTGTAGGGCGTGAGATCCCAGCCGATGTTGCTGCACGGACAGATGAACAGAATGAGTTCCCAGCGGAAATGTGGAAGAAGATGGGTGATGCTGGGTATGGTTCTCTCAAATGGTTGACTCTCTTCTTTGTGAAGGGAGTGTGTTATACAGCGCATACTAACATATATCAAGGTTCCTCGGTGTCACAGCGGACGAGGAGTACGGTGGCCTGGGTATGGGCTACCAGGCACACTGCGTGGTGATGGAGGAGATCAGTCGAGCATCCGGTATGTCTTCCAGTATATGGCTGAGGGGAACATTGATCTGACCTCGATTCTGGATAAAAGGAAGCATCGGTCTCTCTTATGCCGCCCACTCCCAGCTCTGTGTGAACCAGCTCTCCCTCAATGGCTCGACGGAACAAAAAGAGCGCATTCTTCCCGGTCTCCTATCAGGCGAGAAGGTCGGTGCTCTTGCCATGTCGGAGCATTCAGCTGGCTCCGATGTAGTCAGCATGAAGACCACGGCGAAGGAAGTTGATGGAGGCTGGCTCTTGAATGGAACTAAGATGTGGATTACGAACGTAAGTAGTTTGGGGATATAGAGGGGCTTCGAAGTTCCGATCACATTGCTCACACCTTCTTACAGGGCCCCGATGCCGATTACATTGTCGTGTACGCTAAGACAGCGCCTGAACTAGGCTCCAAAGGTATCACAGCATTCATAGTTGAGAAGACCTTCAAGGGCTTCTCATGCGCACGCAAGCTAGACAAGTTGGGTATGCGTGGCTCTAACACAGGCGAACTCATCTTTGAGGATGTTTTCGTTCCCCGGGAGAACGTCCTGGGTGAGTTAAATCGCGGTGTCCGCGTCTTGATGGAGGGTCTGGACTTGGAGCGACTCGTCCTGAGTGCAGGACCATTAGGGTGAGCCATCCAATACCCCAGCACAACTCTCGTATTCTAACACTCCCCAGAATCATGCAAGCTGCGCTTGACCTCGTCCTTCCTTACACACACGTGCGCAAGCAATTCGGTGCACCGATCGCCCACAACCAGCTGGTCCAGGGCAAGCTAGCGGACATGTACACTAAGCTGGCTGCCTCGCGTGCGTACACATATGTTACGGCACGGCATGTAGACAACGCCGCCGTGGAACCTAGCGAGATGGCCGTGCGCACTCATGACTGCGCCGGTGCAATCCTCTACGCCGCCGAACGTGCGACTGAATGCACGCTCGATGCCATCCAACTCATGGGAGGAACCGGCTATATCAACGAGATTCCTGCTGGGCGCCTTCTCCGGGATGCGAAGCTGTATGAGATTGGCGCTGGTACAAGCGAGATCCGCAGAATGGTCATTGGCCGCGCATTCAACAAGGAGTATGCTTAAGCAAGAGAATTATACACAAATTATCATTTGGGCAATGCCATCTCTTTAGAAGACTATATGCAGATTCATTTCATTTATTGTACATGTTGTAAATAGCCATACATCCGAAATTATTAACATGACCGTCCTAGTTCTTCTGCCTGGTCGACCTGCGTATCGGCGGTGTCGCACCACACTTTGTAGCCCTGTCATCACCGCCCTTCCGCACCTCAACCCTCTTCTGTGGAGGCAACGCCGATTGATCGTCAGTGTCATCCTTCAGCGCAACCGCCTTCCGCTTCCACCCCCTCTTCAACGGAATCACGACCTTCGGCGGCGAAGACAGTTTCAGCGAGCGGAAAGAGTCCGGGTCCGGGTCCGAAGTTGTATTCGACGCATCCCCAGCATCCCCATCATCAACACCCGAGGCATTCGACGAGACATCATCCGACATCTCGTCCTCGCTATCAGACTCGTCGTCCGCGCCATCAGATTCATCGTCAGCTAGCGACGAATCGACGGGCTTAGATTCAACCACGTGTCGCCCTTTCAACCGCGACCTATCCAGTGCCGGCTGGGAAAATTTGAAGACTTCCCGCCAGTTCTCTAGAAGCGCGACTTTCTCGCCCGTGTCCGGTTCGTACAAAATGGCGACATCCTGGTCCCGGTCCAGCGCGGGTGTTTTCCACACCACGCCCTGGAAGGAGGCGACATCCGGCATCAGGGTGGATTTCGTCGGCGGGATTCGGGCGATGTGGCCTTTTGGGCGGGAAGGTGTCTTCGTTCGTCGTGATGTTGTCGCTGCGATCTCGGTTCTTTTCTTTCTCTCTGCGCTTTGTTCGACCGTTGCGTCATCATCGTGGTAATCGTCTGAATAATAGTCCCAGTCACTGAAGTATTCTTCGACGTCGATCCCTGGGTCTTCATATAGCGCGGCTTCGTAGTGTGAGGAAGCGGCGAGGTCGTCCTAGATAAGCAAATTTTTGGTTAAGGTCTGAATTGACGCTGTTTTTCTCGCGCAGCACTGATGGCAGAGTCGGACGAGGTGTTTTAGATTGAACTTACGACCATGTCTGGGACTAAATCCTCGTACATGTATTCGTCCTCAAATTCATAGTACTCATCGTCGTCGGACATCTCGTAGTGGATACCGGAAAAAAAGTTGAAGGGGATCGAGTGGCGAGGGTTTCGAGGGGGCGCTGGTTAAATGAATGACAAGACTTCAACGAACGTAAGTCAAGTACAGATATGTAGAGCACACGCAAAACGAGGATGCACGGCTGACGTGATGGAGGGAAGATCGAACTGATCGTGCATTGAAGGAGATGGCAATCCTGCTAACATAAGCCTTGGCGTTTCTCCAGATCTACATCGCATTTACCCTATACAACATAGGCTCTGTGTTGCGTTCTGTCTTTGAGAGGGAGAGTCTTGAATACGTAGAAGACGACGAAGACGGAGAAAGTGGTTTCTGTTCAATGAGTATTGAAATAGGGGATTGTTAGTTACAGGGAATTCCCTCATTGCTAATTCGACCCTCTGCCTGATTCTGCCTTATTCTATCCTACATAGAAGGCATCACTTTAAATCTACCAGATAGTTATGAAAACCCTGCAATTTGATCAGAAAAAACGTGTACTTTATCTCATACCTACATGTTTCCCTTGATGATGATAGAACAGTTGTTGAAAAAGTTGTTGACGATGAAGTAGTTGATATGATAAAGTGACTTAATTTTGTTAGTGGTTTATATACAAATTGTAGGTATCTACCGTCTTGCTAATGGGGTCGAGTCAGCAATGAGCTGTAACAATCCCCTTGAAATATGTGTAGAGTAGAGGATATGGACTCTGCTAAATACATAATCTAAGAGAGTAGGGCAGTGTGACATGCCAATTCAATCCAAGGGAAAAGATTGCATTGGATTCAGAATTCTAAGTACAGAGGAAGAAAGAAAAAGGAAAACTACGTGCGCGTTCTCGCGACTGGGTTTTATGTGACCTCGCTTACTGAATCGCGAAGGAACGACTCTGTCCCATTGTTCCTTCCTATTTCAGTGAGTACGAGCACGGCAGTCGAGGATCAGGAAGGGCAAGTGCCCTGATCGTCACAGGCAGTTCACGGCCTGGAAACAAGGCATCAATGCAGCTTTTCGTAAAGACATGCTTCTCTTCTTTGTTTTTGTTTCGTTCTAGACTTGCTTTTGGGTTTTCTTTAGCTTTTCTCACATGAGATGGCAGTGTGGTCTGTATGCACTTTTGACTTCGCCTTCCGTTCTGTATACAACAGCGGCCAGCTATTATACCAAAAATGCAAGTGATTTTTAGGATTCAGTCATCAAATAACTTCGTCCGCTTTCCATTTACGGTGTCGCAAGTGTTCAGGTGATATTCTCAAATGTACTAGCCCATTCAATGGACCAGAAGTACTATGTCTTTGTACGATATACACTTCCCTCATGCGGACCGGACATCTAAACTTTCATTTCACAGGACGTACGTCGATTACTTGATTGGATATCGGACACTATCGAGGTTTACGTCACACTAAGCTATATATATCAGTCCTTCCCCTCTCCCCTCTGCTTTTTTTCTTTTCTTCTACAACCATCCCACACGGTGTGCTACGACGGGCCCCCCGTTATTCGTCCCAGTTGGGACTCCCACCTGTTGAAGAGCATTGAATTTAACAAATCCACTGAATTATTCTGGGAGAAACTACCTGTGTGCTTTGAATTTTGAAAGCCTCGTCACCTTAGTGCTTGGGTAGGGGTTAAGGGCCCTAGCCTTTATTCAAGTGCTAAGCATCCGCAACTTGCAATATCTGGGTTTGATGTCCTCAGCGAAGACTGCGGCGCCTGTGGTCTTTGCTGGTGGCTGATAACTTGGATTCTAACTCTCTCTCATCTTTGCCGTGTTTGGGGAGAGATCTAGGGCCCGGGTCTCTATCCAAACATCGAGCATTCGCATTCTTGATACCCGGGTTGATGTACTGGGTGAGGACTGCGGCGCCTGTGGTCCTCATTTGGGACAGATAACTTGGGCTCTAAAAATCTCCTGGTGATTGATACTATTTCTATTTTTGAGACTTTAATGTATAGAAAAAATCCCGCAGCTGAAGTGGACATCGTGTGGAACTGGTTCATTGAACGTCCATAGAAGTCTCTCTCATCCCCATCCATATCGGCGGTTTTTCCCATAGGACGGGCAACTATATTGAACATTCTTGGTGAACACTTCACGTTCAACCGGGAGCTTTTCCCACGTGGTTTTCTCCCGGTTGGGCATTCACCACGGTGTCATTGACACCAAATTGTTACTACAATACACAACCACTTGAGGCACTCTTTCCAGCTAGGAAGCTTTCCCCATGCGGGTTTTTCTCCTGGTTGGTTTTGATGAGGCCTCAGCTCTACGACAGCTCAAGACAATCTCTTGACAATGTCTCGACACTGCCGTCTGGAAATGTAAAAAAATGTTGGAAATCGCACCGGTCGAACCTGAAGAAGAAAATGGGCGTGGCAACCGTGCCACCCGATGAGTCCCGAGGAACAAAAGGACTCAATTGATTGCCCATTCATCGAACGAACCCCGAATAAGAAGATTTGTATGGGTTGCCATGCCACCATTTTACCATTGAACCGACTCCGAAGAAGAGAACGGGCATGGCAACCCATACCACCCAATGAGTCAAACAGAAGGACTCAACTGCCCATCGGACGAAAGAAAAACATCCAATCGGACAATCATTTGAATATCAACAACACCGAAAACAATATCAACCATATCAATATCAACACCAATATCATACCGCCAACATAAATATCCAAAATCGACAAAAACCAACGAACAACCGGCACAACCAACAAACCAAACGACTTTGGGCAATTCATTCAATCAAAAATCAAAAATTAAAAAAAAAAACGATATCGAAAGACAACAAAACAAGGGAGGAAATTCAAGGGAAAACAAAGGAAACGAGCGGAAATTGGATTCAATATATGTACGAGGCACTCTTTCCAGCTGGTTGTATTTATCCCACGGGGTTTTCTTCCAGCTGGTTTTAACGAGGCCTCGAATTGATGTCGGAGGAGATGAATATTGAGTTATACTTGTTGTATTGGATGATGGAAACTGAACTTCAATGTATGGAGGGTGGTGTTGCTGGGTAGTCCGAGGGAGGGCATGGCACCTCTCTTTCGGACTGTTCAGTGGCTAACTCAAGGGCTTATTTATATAGTTGTTGCTGGACAGGCCGGGGGAGGGCATGGCACCTCTCTTCTGGGCTGTCCAGTGACCCAACACAATCAAATTACGAATATCATTTTGATTCTTGATGTATTGCAGATATTGCAGTATACTATGTACTACAGACAGACAATCTTCATACGACTGATCCCTATCTTGGCGTGCAATAGGAGATGTGTCTTGTTCGAATATATTTGTGTAATGTAATAACTAGTCGTAGTCATAAATTTCGGATCTCGTGATGTCTTCCAATCAAATGTTGCAGTAAAGTTCCCAAATACCTGAGTATCCCAACCAATCCAAGAACGCCTCATTGAGTCCTTGTCGCAGAAGTTCATCTCCCATATAGTACTTTCTTGTCTTCTCCCGCACAGCAGTCCCAAGAGAGCTCTGAAGGGGTTTCCCTAAGCGAATTGTTTCCGTGGATCTCATGAGGTCTTTCCAATAGATACTCTCAGGCTGCCAACGTCGTTCCTCGTCCGCCGCTGATGCAAGTCTCTCAAATCCCGGTAGTGATTGAACAGTCTCCCAGATTCTAGGTGCATCGTAGTATGACGGCCTGCCATAGTTTCTCAAAACTCGCTGAGTATACTCAGGTTCAACCATCTGTCGAGAGGTTCGTCGTAAATAATCAATCTGCTGGTCTATAAGGCTTTGTATATCCTTTCTCTCTTTGGCAGGCTCTTCGTCTTTCTCCATCTCGTCAAGATAATGGGTGAGCTCGTCCCTTAATTTTCGCAAGCGGTATTGTGTCCATTCAGGATAGAGAGAGGTTGTATCCGCATAAGGGCGGACGTTGGTAATATAGCTGGAGTCGTAAACGTTTGGCATTGTAGAACGGTATGAAGTAATAGTCGATATGCGCTCCTTGACGCCTTTCGCCCGGGCAGCCAGATGACAGACTTCGCCGCCTTGAAGCATGACAGCATGCCCAATTTGGGGGCCCTCAACCTTCAATGGCTTGGTTAGCAGAGGAATTTTAGTTTCAGTAAGTATATTTCTTACACACCTTCTGTACTTCCCCGTCTCCCTTCTTGATATATGTCTCGCCTCCGATCATACCCTCAGTGTCGCTCAGCATCAATACACAAACGTAAGGATACGAGTCATAGCTTTGAGCCAGTTAGTCTCGTCAGTGCTACAAGCAAGGCGGCCAGGGTATGAACTTACTGCCACGGAATGATGGCACTTGCATCTTTCAAAGGGTCGTAAGTTCGGTCTTCGAGACTCAACTCGAGTTTTTCTACCGCCGGCTCAGCTTTGAGATTACTGGCCATTTCTGCAATGGTAGTGCCTTCAACTTGGATATTAGTGTGCCCTATTTCCGTTGGCATCACCACCTCCAGAGGTACACCGACTGCTTCAGACACAATCCTCATTGTCTCGGGGTGCCTCCAAAAGTCATTGACAAACTTTGACTGTTTCACCGCGTCGCGGAGGACTAAAGTCCCCGGAAATGGCGAGCTGGCACATTTGTCTATGACATTCTTTTGGAATAGCGCTCTCCGGTAGGCTTTGACACCCTCGGCAGACAATAATGGGAATGGAACTGTTCCTGCAATTGGCGATGCGGTTGGGCTCTGGCTTAAAAGCAATTCTTGCATTGTAAATCTTTTTGAAGGTGGGGTGTAGTTGAGGTGCACCTGTTTGATGAGAACTTAGAGGTGGTCTTTCGGTTAAGCGTCGATATTTCTCTAGATGTACATACTTTCGGATCGAATACCTCTTCCTTGATGTCCTTGACGGGGGTTTGGGAAGAGTTCCAGATATATTGCTTCAGCACGCTGAAAGGATTCATCATGGGCATAATATGTTGACAACCCAAACAAGGTAATTGAAATTACTGTTAGGTTTCAAATTTAAAAACAAGAATTATGGTCTACGAGCGTG